GTTAGTTGGGTCCTTCCAGTACGTATTTTCTGTACCTGAGATCAATTTCGGGTTCGAAGGGATAACATCCCTTCTCAAGCCGCCTCCTTCTTACCCCTGGATAGTGAGGGAGGATCGTAAGGTATATTTGCTACTCCGATTTGCCGGTCTCATCTCTTCGATGCCCAGCCAGGCCTGCACATGACCAATGTTGCGAGTGTTCCATCGTCTCCTTGCGCTGTTTGTTTGCCACTCCTCCACAACATGAAGGGGCGCCGTCCTTCGTCCAGGGGGATGGAGAGGGGCAGAGGGGGAGCAGACCAGCAGCTGTTTCGTGCTATCCCGCGCCGGTCAATTAATCCACGTTGACATTCGTCTTTGCGACCCATCCGAACCCAAGCACAGTGGGTTCTGATCTCCCTATTTGGAACCTTTTTGACACGTCCTAGGCGAGGAATATCGCAGCCTCGGCGTTGCATCGTTGGTCTGCCGCCGCGTTGAGGATGGATGAACAGGCACAAACCTGTCGACAGGCAACCTTGTCGCCAGTCTCGCTTCGGTCTGGCTTGTCAGCGCGCGCAGTGGGCGTACGCGTGGAGTCTCCTGCATACGAACGAACTGGCCATGGCCAACTTGACCCCCTCTCACTCCACCGCGCTCCTGAGGCGTCTCACGTTCCTTGCGTTCTTCTCAGTCATCGCTGCTCTCTCTTGGGAGGCAGCAACAGCACAGGACACAACTGCACGTGTGTCGAGCCAACGCACTAATGGCTGTCCACAGGCGGCATGAAACAAGCATAAGCCCAAGCAGCAGCGGCAAATTGCCCAGAATGGTGCTTCAGGCAGCACATGCCGGACGTATGACTTTCTTCTCCTGCCTCGTACGCTCGTGAAGGAGAGTCACTCACCGCCTGTTTACCCCCCACGGCAATCCAGCGCCGAAGCACCTGCAAACGACAGACTCGCCCACTCTGTACGACGTGCGTCACCCTCAACACCCGCATGGCGATCCTGCTGTTCCCCTCAAGCCTCCTTGTTATTCTGCACGCAAACAAGCCATCGGCCGCGCGCTCCCTTCATCATTGACGTGCATGGTCCTCTAGACTCAGTGAATGTGCCGCCTTCTCAAAGTCTCGACCCTTTCGGCCTTGCATCATCTGGCCAGATCGGGAATCTTGGCTGCCCGACAAGAGCACCCGCTCACCTTGCACTGTTTGGATGGAGCTGATGCTTGCTGTTGGCTAGTGCATCAGTGGCGAGTCCATCGAATCCCTCTCGCTGCACTTTGAGGGTGGCCGTGTCCACCGCGAATCCCAGCACAGCCTCCCTGTTCAGCCAGACGCACCGATGAGCCAGGCCATACAGGACGCATGCGATGAAGGTGTCTCCAGCACCAACAGTACTGTTTTGATCATGAGCCATTTGTTGAAATCAGACGGGGAGGACAAGGCACTGGTCGACCTACTCGACGACGTCTCCATTGGGCACTCGCGCCGGATGATGGACACAAGTATCTTCACCCAGGCTCAGAGAGGCCGCCCCGGCTGCGCCCCAGGTGCAGAAGGCTAAGAACCTAGGTCGTCGGTCAGTCGAGGATGGATTTCACGTATCGCCCTCAGACAATCCACAGGGGGCCTTCTTCATCTGCTGCGACTTACGCACGAGCCGGCCTCTCCCCGAGCAAGCACGCCTCAGACGATGTGTATCCGCAATCCTAGGCAGCACCGCAGGTCTCAGCGATCAAGCTCACACACATACTCAGCGTGTCTCTTCTCTCTCTTTTGCTTGGCCGTGCGGCAGAAGCAACGTTTGATGCGACTCACCTCAGCCCAGCTTTTGGAAAAGAAGGCCACGTCTGCTTCGGCCGCCAGGGCGCGCAAGCCCTCGCGGCCCGGCTTCTCAACCTCGACGCTGATCTGGACAGACTCGCCGAGCTCTTGCCGCAGCACGCGCATGCACGCGAGGGTCGTTGCCGGTTCGCGTCCCTCGAAATGCCACCACCAGCGGCCCGCGTTTCGCCCCGTGCTAGCGTGCCCCCGTTCGCCCGCAGCGCGCCCGGTCATGGCCCCGACGATGGCCGCGAACTCGCGGACCGTCATGTCCGGCAGCGTATTGCTGTTGACGATGGTGCGACTGCCAGTCGCGGCGCTGCGGAGCACGTAGCAGCTCGCCGGCGTCATGTGTCCCGCGCGGAACAGACAGTGGTCAAAGTCGACGGGAGGCGATGGACCCCGGCCGAACGACGCGAGGATCTGCTCCGTCGCGGGGCTGTCGCGCTGCGGCAGCGGCGAGACGAGGTGCAGCTGTGTCTCGCTCGCCGGCGGGCTGGCGAGAGCGCCCTCGGCCGCGAGGAACTGCTGCAGCACCTGGAGGGAGTTGGGACAGTTGCCACCGCGACGAACCTGCAGCTCCGTGGCGCGCAGTTTCTCGTCTTCCTGCGGGTATCGGGGCACGCTGTCAGACGTACGGTCAGCGATGCATCGGCCGCCAGAGGGGAGGACGAGGTTCCTTGCCTGAGAATCGTGTCAAGGTAGCAGGCCCCGACGAGGACAATGTGCTGTGTCGCTTGATGCGGTGTCATTGTGGAGGGTTGTCGGCCCTTGGATGCTGCTCGTGATGGGGTTGCGCGGACCGAGAGCGACCAGTTCTTGTCGGGGTGAGTGTGTCCTACGTCTCCGATGGGGGTGGACTCGTGACAGCCGTCTGCGGCTCCTGAGCTACGCGGCTTGCTGCAGATGACCGACTACGTCTTCTGGTCGTTGCGCGGTGATGCTCCAGTCCTGCTTGGTGGTGGTGATCATGATGAAGATGATGTCCAGAGTCCCGACTTTATTCGCGTCTGCCGCACAATGGCTGGGTACTTGATCTTCGATTCGATTCGCCTATCGTGTGGAGACCCATTCGACCATGTCCCAATGCAAGCGACACGTCTTGTGGCTCACATCCCGTCCACGGAGGCGGCATTCGGGTATGTCATCGTTGGCCTGACTGGAGTCGCAAGATGATGACGAGAAACCCCCGTGCACCACGCCGTCGTTGAATCGTTCAATAGTGTGGCAACGCGTAGTTCAACTTTGCCATTAGGATCTTCGCCCAAGACGGGGACTGTGCATTTCCCTACTATGTATACCCCAGGTATAACCCTCCAACTCCAAGACCTCAAGAGGAATAAAATGCAGCCATGTGCTTTGCACTTGAAGAGACTCGGACAGCCCTCCAAGTATGCCAAACTACTAGTACGCAACAGACGCACTGCTATCAGGGGGTCCACCCCCAAGGGTGCAACCCTCAGCCTCGATCTCCCATCATGCCTCGTCCTCCTGCCTCACATACACGGAGAGCCTGTTGCCGTTACCGCAGAATTCGTCGTCCGCCCCCGCGCAGAGCATGCTACACTGCTCCTCGGGCGCCTCGGTGGCCCCGGCGTGCAGCTCGTCGCCGCAGAAGCACTCGCGCCCGTACTCGGTGCCGAACATGGCGAACCCCTCACAAAACGCAGCGCACGACTCATTCGTCATGTCGTCCGCCGCGCGCTCCTTGCCCGACAGCGCGCGGGCCCCCGTCGGTTCGGTGCGGCACCCAAACCAGACAAAGTCGCCCGCAAATGCAGGCTGGCGGGGTTCGCGAGGCGGCGTCGAGGCGCGTGCCGGGTCCTCGTAGAGGGTGAGGCGGTTGGGCCCGCCGCAGTGCGTGAGCGGGTCGCCGGCGCACGGCATGGCGCAGTCATCGAGGGGCGCGACGGAGGAGGAGGCATGGAGAGAATTACCGCAGTAGCACTCGGCCGCGTACTCTGTGCCGAAGTAGCGGTAACCCGTACAGAACGCAGCGCAGTCGGCCAGGGTCATCGAGTTGGACGTCGTCGACTTTGCCGACAGGGCACGCGGGACAGACGTCGCTTCTGTCTGGCAGCCGACGAGTGTGAAGGGCGAAACTGTCGGAACGGGCGCAGGGCCGGTGGGTGATGGAGTATTCGATGAAGACGCGCTGGGTGATGATACGGCCCTGCCGCTGCTAGAGGGGAGCGAGCTCGGGGGCGCTGCCGAAGACGTGGCCTCGCTCAGGCTGACGCTGGACTCAGCGCCGCCCGTCGTGGCGGCGGTTGAACTTGCGAGCGGTGCTGACGATGCGGCACTTGCCCGGTACAGCTCGAGACGGTTCCCGTCGCCGCAGAACTGAAGAGGGTCCCCTGCACACCTCATGTTGCACTCGTCTACGGGCGCGGGACTGCTCAGCGAGTCAAGAGCATTGCCACACCAGCCTGAGAGATTAGTATTTTTGATCGGTCAAAAGCAAGACGTGAATCCGGCGACGGTGGGCAAAGGGAACCAACTCACATTCTCTGCCATACTCCGTGCCAAAGTAGGTGAATGCGGAGCAGAAAGCAGCACACTTGTCCAGTGTCATATCATCTCCTGCTGTCGTGGCGCCACTCAGAGCCCTGGCGCCCGTATTGTCTGTCTGACATCCCACACGCACGAATCCGCGTACACTCGGCACACGCGTCGGCCCAGGGGCGGCGGTTGTACTCGTGCTTGTCTTTGTGGCTGTTGTCCGGTAAAGCTCGATCCTGTTGCCGCCTCCGCAGTATTGCGTCCCATCGCCGGAGCAAGGCATGCCGCAGTCCGCAAGTGGTGCCGCCGCGCTCCCAGAGTGAAGGGCGTCGCCGCAGTAGCACTCGCGGCCGTATTCAGTACCCCAGTAGTTGAAGCCTGTGCAGTTGGATAAGCAGGACTCGAGAGTCATGCCGTCATAGGCGAAGGAGGCGCCAGTCAGGGCGCGGGCGGCAGGAGGCTCGGACCAGCAGGAGACAAGGGTATAAGGGCCCATCGTTTGGCGGCGGTATATCGAAGGCGTGGGCGAGGATATTGTCGTCATGGTGGTAGAGGTGGCCGAAGGCACGACGGAGGTAATGGCTGGTGTGCTGCAGACGTTACTGACAGGCCGAGACTGACATGTCCCGCCGAGAATATTGGCCTTCTTGAAGGCATCGACGCGGTCGCCGCTGAGAATGTCAAAAGTAGCCTCAACGCTCCGGCCGCCAGGTATGGTGGTCGATACCGAAAATAGTGTGTAGGGGCCGATGCAAGGGCCGCGGGTCAGGTCGAGCATCAGGGTATTGAGGGCAGGCACGACGCTGCCGGTCTGGGTTGTCTTGTAGGATATGATGGCGCGGACGGGCAGTTCAGCGCGGTCGTTGCGGACTGCGGCTGTGAGAGTTGTCACGCCGGACGACTGCAGAAGGCAGCTCTGATAGCGTTGCAGAAAGACGGCGTCCTGGATGGGATACGAGGCGCCATTGTTGTCGTAGACTGTGTTTGTGCCATCGGTGCGGCGGACTGTGACGGTGAAAGACGAGATGCCACTAGCGAGCGGTACATTGCGGGCAATGGGAAACCACGCGAACGAGTCGTCGAGGCCGCGGCCGACGCCTTGGACAGTGAGAGGAAATGAGCAGCCGCTTGATCCGCAGTCGTTGCCGCCGTTGCGTGCCTTGTAATCGATGGTCAGGCCTGCAATAGAGGTAAGTGGCACATTGGTGGTGCGGATGCGGATGAACCCTGTCAGCTCGATGACGGTGCCTTGCGTAGAGAGCGTCAGCTGCAGGCCGACGGGCTTGATTTGGTACGGCTCCAGAGGTGCCGTTAGGGTGACACTGGGAGGCACGACGTCGATCATCTTCTGCAGCACCGTCTTGCAGACGTCGTTGAAGGCGGCAGCCGAGGCCATGGCCTGCATGGTGACATTGCGATCCGAGCTGTACACCTTGAAGTCGGAGTGCTTGTTGAGGCCGACGGCGCGGCCCACGACGAGCGGGTTCTGGGTCGTGCCATCGAGGTACTCGGTGACGATCTTGTTGTCAAAGATGGCGACGCTCGAGTCCAGGGGGATCTGCCCGTTCGTTGCGGTGCCCGCCGGAATGATATCTGGAAACTCGGCCGAGTGCACGCCGCCGATGGTATGGCCACAAGCGGTCACCTGAATCATCTCTTGTGGCGAGAAGCCCATGCGGTCAAACTGCGTCCGGAAGATACTGATGGCGTTCTGCGGTTGTGGTACGCCCACGGGCCCGGCGGTCGTGGCATCTCTCCTGCCGGCGCGGAAGGGAACGGCGGGGCCGCCGCACGCTCTTACGGATATGTAGACGCCGAGGGCAATGAGGTCGGCCATGGAACTCTTCTTGGTCATGTAGGGGCTCATGAAGGTGAGGGTCGTGCCGAACCCGGGACCAGTGTTCTCGCCGTTGTTGAGCTCGTACTGGAGGGAAGCGTCGATACCACCAGTACCGCGGGCCGTGTTGGCGGTGGCCATGTCATGAAAAGCGGTGCGGAGCCACTCGGCAGCGTTGTGACGGCCGGGGCCGGATGCCTGGTTGGTGCAAGGGGAGACGGAATCAGCAAACTTGCGGGAGCGAGTGCTCGTCGTCTGGAACATAATCTCCTCGAGCTCATCCGTATCAGCGGGCCAAGTCGGGTCCGCAGTGGTGAGGCCGAGAAGGGCCACCAACAGGGCTGCTTGGAGCTTCATCGTGACTCCTTTGACAAACTCGCGCCCTCGGTGGTGCAAGATGGGCGAGACAGGCGTGGAACCAGCAAAGATCCTGAACGAACGAGGCGGATGACAAAAGCAAAAAAGAAGGCCAACTATTCACAACAAGGAGAGCGGCAGATCCGACCGACAGCCCACTGGGAGCAGAGGAAAGGGAAGAAGGGAGGGCGAGGGGAAAGATGATGGCGGGCAGGAAAAAGATGCATAATGATAGACGTTATGCAAGACGAAAGGCACAGCTACAGCCCGCCGTGTCATCTCCAACTCTACAAAGCCAAGCCGTTAGCAGGTCAGCCAACGTACGGAAGCGGTCATGGCACTGCACTCATGCCGCGTCCCAAGAAGCCGGCTGGAGCCGGGCTCGAAGCGCAATGACACCGAAAGGGCTGGCTACCATATCGGAAAGCAATAAAAGAGTGGTGGTCGATGGGAAAGCTTGGCTTCGTATTTCTGGACGTGGAGCACAGGGTGCTATCGCACGCTAGCGCTGCTGCCGTGACGGGGAGGGGGGGCCAGAAAGGCACAGAGGCGTGGTAAGGCGTCGGGCGAATGCCAGCTCATTGGAGAGGCGCGGTTGGGTTGGGTGGCAGCCGCATGTGGGATGCTCAGGGTTCAGCCCACGTCCTTGGCGAAGGGGGAATAGCAGCGACAAGAGGAGCCTGAACGGGACAGGCAGGTCGATAGGCATTGGCCTGCGTTGGCGATATTGGGCGGCTCACAGGCTGGGCAGTGCTGCGGTGTGGCGGCGTGTGGGCTTCGGCGTGGTGCTGATGACTGCTTGTTGCATGATTAGACGAACAGACTATTGAGCCACGGCTGACGGGGTTGCGAGTGATGGCGGTGGCCTAGAGAGATAAGTAGCGCTCGGCAGAGGCGTAAGATCTTCAGGGACTTGGTAGGCGGCCAACCAGAATCGATTCGACACCTCAGTCTAGACGTCTCTCCTGAGGAGGAAGATTAACGATACGAACTGGTAGATGGTTCAACGTTCGATATGGGTGGGGGAACTCGGACGGGGAGCTTCAACGGCTGATCGCCCACAAGTCCCGAAGCGCTGGTCCGTGCCAAGGCTCAGCAGCGGCCGTCGTGCTTCGCTTGATCGCCATGTGCTGCGGCCTCGGGCCTGTGAATTCCTCTGGGGCTCTTGCTGTCGGTCTGAAAACGATTGACGGGCGTGGTGTCGTGCCATGCTGTCGAGACATGCTGTCGGGGTTGGGGAAGCGTGTCACCGACAGAAGATGGATGGAACGATGACATGTTCAGCAGTGGTGCGGCCCTGGTGATTGATGCCAGTGCGGCAAAAACAACCCGACGACAACAGAAGGCTGCCCTGTCGTGCCTGCAGGGTACATGCCGTTGGTGCATCTCCTCGAGCTGCCGCGTTGCCACGCAGACCTCGACGTGGCTCGCTGGGCGCACGCGGAGCTCGTCAGGGCTGTCGTGATCTGAGCTCAGCCTGGACAATGGTTGTACGATGGGATGGCAGAAGGCTGAGGCGAAATGGGCTTCCAGTTCGCCATCAGGCTGCGATGCCTCGGTGTGGCCATATCACTGCCGACGAGAGCTCCTTTGGCAGTTGCTTGGACCCTTTTCCTTGACCCGCCAAGGCATCGCCTCCTGCAGATGATGTGTCGTCCAGACAGCAGGAATACGAGGCAAGATGCCGACAGAGCCGTCTGCTGGATTGTGAGCAGCAATGTGATGAGTCTCGGGGGAGGAGAGTGGCCAGGCGGGGAAGGCAAGGCATAGGAAATGGAATTGGTGAAGGCAAGGAAGGGGTCAGTCAGTCGTTCGAACGCTCTCATTCGTTGGTTCCAAGTGGAAAGATACGCGGAAGGGGCGAGTCCGTCTTCCGATGCTGCCATGGCGATGCTGACATGGGCGCTGCGTCTACGTTCCTCCCTTGCCTACCAGGTAGGTAGATGCCTACCTTGCTACCTAGGTAGATGCCTACCTTGCTACCTAGGTAGGTCCCTGATGACGAAGGCAGGCTCAGTGGCTTACAGCTTCCCAACAGCAACCCAAGTCGCCAGAGGTTGCTCTCCTCCACGTCCCGAACCCAGCGAGTCTCGTAGGGCCACTATTCCAAGTTGCCGAGTGCAATCAGCTCAACCGTCGTTCACAGGCACGTCATCAAGATTCCACGACACACTCACACGACCTCATACCCCAACCGAAGCAAGATGAACGGGCTGCTCTCTTGGTGCCAACCAGCTGTTTGCAGACAGATCCAACGCTACGCTTGGCTACGCGGGAAGACTAGTTGCCGAGCAGACGGTGTGGAAGCTTTTCTCCCGAACCTCATCAAAGCTCTTGGCTTACTCAGTGGCTCGCCGAGAAGAGAGTTTGGGCTTGAGGTCATGCCGCCCCTCCAGCGCGACGCTACTCATTCGATGCTACACCGGCGCCAACCCACAATGACCTCAGCACCCGTACCCTAACCCGACTTCCCTCATGAGGTCTTTGGTTCTCGTCTTGGATTTTTCGTCGGCTACGACTAGCAGACTCTGAGCAGAGACGAACCGGCTCTGCGTCGGTCTCTCCGACGTGAACCAGGACCCTGGATCAGTACCCCACGACTCACGACTGACGACTGACGACTAGCGACTGGACCAGGTTTCCCATGATGGAGATCGTGACGCCGCCACGGTCCCCGCGCCACATGGCTGTGGCCGTGCTTGCCTCCACCGGCATGGCCCTCCAACCAATCATATAGCAAGACTGCGTCTCGGCAATGACATCAGCGGGGTCGCCAGCCACATGCCGCCTCGTCATCATGCCATCCGCGAACGTCTCATCCACTCGACTCTAGATCATCATGGCGTCTTCCTCCTTATTCAAAGCTCAGATCCCTGACGATGGCTTTGCTCCGCGTAGCGGCGTAGCGGCATCACACCAAGGTGCCAGGAGGACAAGGAGGGGGGAAGGGAGGGGAGGCCTCGGATCGACGCTAAAGGCCTACACTGCAGTTGTGCGGCCAAGTGCCGGCAGCACCACGCACATATGAAGCAGCCTCCCCCCGTTCCCTGGTTCGAGGTGTAGCGATCGGGGCATGATCTGAATCTGTCGAAACACCACTTGTGACAGTATTGCTAGCAAGAGAACTGCCTATGCGCGACATAACTTGGCTGCTGACCACTTCAATCTCCTCACGCCCTTACACACACACATCACATCTTTCACAACACCACCACCACAACAGGTCATCGCAACAATGGCGAAAGGAGTTGCCCTCAAGTTCCTGCAGTGGTTCATCCGCGGCGTCCAGTTCGGCTGCGCCGCCATTGTCCTCGGCATCTTCTCCTATTTCCTAGCCACCCTCTCCAACCACAACATTCACATTGCGACCTATGTGCGCGCCGTGACGGGCATCTCGGGCGCCGCTGTGCTCTACACCATCCTCGGCCTCGTCCTGCTCTGCTGCCTCGCCGGTCGCATCTTCACCTCGGCCATCGCCATCCTCCTCGACCTCGCCTTTGCCGGCGCCTTCATCTACGTCGCCTACGCCAACCGCCACGGCGCCTCCTCCTGCAACGGCTACGTCGACACTCCCTACGGCCGCGGCCGCTCCGCCGCCGACGTCCAGGGCACCGACGGCTTCACGAACCTGCCCTCCTTCCGCCAGGCCTGCCGCCTGCAGAGCGCCTGCTTCGCCGTCTCCATCATCGCCATCGTCTTCTTCCTGCTCTCCATCCTCGTCGAGGTCTTCCTCGTCCGCCACCACAAGAAGGAGAAGCGCTTCGGCCCCGGCCCCGACAACAACTACACCTCGGGCTCCGGCGGCAAGAAGACCCGCGGCTCCGGCGGCGGCCTCTTCGGCTGGCGTGGCAAGCGCAAGGCCCACGGCGCCGGCGCCTTTGACAACGACAACACCCTCCCCGCCCACACCTCCCCCGACCAGGTCCGCAACAGCTACAACACCGAGGCCACGGCCGTCGCCCCGGGCCAGGACGCTCACCCTTACTCGCATCCCAAATCGGAGACGGGCTACGGCTACACCAACGGCACCGGAAACGGCATGGCCAACGACCACGTCGTCCCGGCCGGCACGGCCTATGGCGTCTCCAACGAGACCCACACCCACGACGCCGCCTACGCACAGCCCCTGCCCCAGCAGACGGCGGGCGTCCACGCCGGTCAGACGAACCCGTACCGCTACGAGGACGGTACCTTTGACCGTCGCTGAACGGCTTCACATGTGTGGAAAACATCGGCGTGATCAAGTCATCACAGGCTGGTCAGCGACCAAAAGAACCCCCGTCTTGTAAACATAGCCGCCTTAGCAACTTAATGTCTAATCATTTCGCTTAATCATGAAGATCATATCCCTCGCTGTGCAAGTAGTCATGATGCATCTATCATATCATGTAGTGATTCGGTCATCGCAGTTCCCTTGCAGTATACCGCAGATGGTCAACCTTGCCATCAACGCCGCAGCGGAGACTTCTGCTAGTAACTTCCCGTTTGTACTGCCACGATATTAGCGCAGCTCCAGATATGTTTGGTAAAAAAAAAAAAAAAAAAAAAGAAAGAAAAAGAAAAAAGAAAGAAAAAGAAAAAAGAAAAGGGTCACTCGCTGTTGACCATCTCGTCCCCCCCTGCGTCGTGCCAGTTCATACCCAGCTTCTCCAGCTCGCGCATGAAGAAACTCTGCTTCTCGCGATACGCCGACCGCAGGTCACCGGCTACCTGCTCGGGGTACTTGCGCATGTTGAACCAGTGCGTCAGGCTGCGTATCGCCTGCTCCAGCGGCAGCGCCGAATCCACCTCGGCGTCGACGTCGCTGCCCGCGAGCCACTCGTCGCGCAGCTCCGGCCGGACGTGCAGATATACAGCCGTGATGACGCGCATGTTGCTCTGGCGCCACTTACGGCCGCAGTAGGGCACCTGGTTCTTGAAGAGCTTGAGCGTGTACAGGCGCAGCTCCTGCTGCGGAACCTTGAGCGATTTGCGTAGTATGTTCGACGACTTGTACTGCACGAGCAGCAGGTTGCGGTGCGCCTTGCGTTTACAGATCTTCTGCATGATGCGGAGGTAGTTGATGAGCGAGAGGAAGTTCCGCCTTGAAAAGTCCGTGATTGGCTCCATCGGTAAGGGATTGACTGGGTAGCCGAGCTCGTCGACTTCGGGTCGCGCCGAGGTTTGACCTTCCGGCGGCTCGTGTTCCTCCTCGCTCGTCTCAGGAATGGGAACCGCCGAAGGCGATCGTTGCCTGCGAATAGGCGGAGGTGCCGCATCGTCCTCGCTCTCGATCAATTCATCTTCATCCTCTGGAGCCGGCACGGTTGGAGGCTCATCTCGGGCTCCCAAGCTGGACCTCAAGTTGCAGAAGTGGAAGAAACTAACAAGTCAGACTCGTTCATCTGTCAACATGGCGCAGACACATACCTGTTTTCTATCCGATCCGTTTTGCTGTCGACAGCCTGCTGTATATCCTGGTGCGCAAAGAGCTTCAGGACCAGGGGGAGGTAGTTGTGATCCAGCAAGAGCTGTGTGAGGTATTCGAATTTGAGGACATCTGTGCATGTGAGCTGGTGGTGAACAGATCAGCAAAGAAAAACAAAGAAAGCTTACGTGACAGCTTCAGCCATTTTAGGAGCAGCAAGAGCGTTCCGGTGGCCGCTTTTGTTGTGATCTCTCTCGACCGCGTCGCATCGACCTCTTCCGGAGACATCTCTGGAGGTTCTGGCGCCCCAGCCCCTGGTGCCGAAGGGTCCTGCTGTTGCCGCGCTTGCCCCGGACCGCCATTAACGCCGGCATTCGCGCCCCTCCCAGCCATGCTCGGATGCTGTTGAGCTGGCCCGGGCTGGGACAGAGCTGAGACATTCATGAAGATGGGCCGCAGAAGAACAATGACTAGAGATTGTAGATGAGGAAGCATTTCTTGCTGTACAAAGGTTAGCTCAAGACCAAAGCGCCACGGGGTAAGAAAACCAGCTTCGCTCACGTAAAAACTCTCAACGGCCAAAAGACGACTCTTCACGTCCTCGTCAATGGTGGAATGAGGACCATAATCAACCAACGGCTCACTCTCGGCCTTGCGCTTACTGCTGACACCTCTCAGCGAAGCAATCAACTCCCTCTCTTCAGGCGTCATGTCGCTGAGGTCAAGCCCAAGGTCTTCCTCGGGGTCAATGTCGGGGTCGAGATCGATACTGTTGACGTCGTCATCGGAATCCCCTTGCCAGCCGCGACCGGTCTGCATAAACCTGACACGCTCATCCCACAGCTGGCGCATGGCCCGACTGAGCCGAACTCGGTCGGAGAAGAGGTTGCCGGCCTCCAGGATGGAGGCCGGGATGTCGCTGCCCTTCCACTTTCGTCCCACCAATGTGTCCTGCAGACCCGCGCCGCCCTTGCCGCCAGCGCTGTTGCTGGTGGTATCCAGGGGCGGGTACATGAAGGGAAAGTTCTGGTTTGTTTGGTAGTTTTGCTTCTTACCACCTTTACCACCAATACTAGGGGACGGTGGAGGTGAAGGAGCCGGGGTGGCAATGTGCACTGGTTGGTTGAGGATGGAAGCACCACCGCTTTGCGTGTTTGGCGCCACGGGGATGATGCCATTCGCAGACGCTCTCGGGGGTTGGTTCGAAGGAGGGGGGAGGATCGTGGTGCTCTCGGCCTCGAGGTTTATGGCAGGTGCCGGTGGTAGGTAGGCGGGGTATTTAGAGGTGAGCTCTTGGCGGAACGTGTGGTAGTCCAGGGGCGATGCTGAGATGATGGCGGCAGACTTTTCGTCCTTGTCGGTCTCGCTGACGGCCCTCTTGGCAGCAACGATCTCATCAATGCCGCCAAAGACCAGGAGGATAGACTTCCAGAGAAGGAGGAGGATCTGGTTCAACGGGAGCGTGTTTGTCTCGTCCCACCGCACTTTTGATGTCGCGAGTGACATGAAATTGACCAAGCCGGGGTTCAGGGCAACTGCCATACGTGTCAATTTCTGGCGCGAGATGCCGTAACATTCTCACGGGGGCACACATACGTAGTGCTGAGCGCGTCGCCTCTAGTGCGCTTGGGTCGCTCAACGTCTCTTGGATGGCGATGTAGAGCACAGTCATGAGGTTGAGGAGCTCGTCCTGGGCGTCTTGGGCACTTCCCGGCTGGGGGAAGCCCTGGTCCTCGGACCTACGAAGAACTGGTCAGCGGGACGGGCTCTCTCCGGGCCAAGGAAGCTGGCGGTACGAACCAGAAGGCCTCGAAACAGTCTTGGATGGACTGCCAAACTATGCGCAGTCCGTCAAGTGACGTCAGGAAAATGGTCTGTGACTTAATCGCATCAAGCTGTGAGGGGCTCGCGGCAGACTTGAGACCGTGTGTGCGACGTGTTGGGACGGCCGTGTCGACCCAGCGTCCAAGCGAGAGGTACAACAGCACGCGGGCGGCGTCCAAGCGATCGGCCTGTTCCGAAGCCTGTAGGCTGTCAAGCGCTTCGCGAAGAAAGTCGGTCCTCGCGTCGTCATCCACGTCGGTCCACGATGCCATGTCGTAGTGCGACTGCCATTGCGACTCGAAGGCGCTCTGCACAGCATTCAGGCGCACCCACTGCCAGAATTGATAACTGAACCATTCGTCAATCTCCTCCTCGTGTGGTCCTGCATCTTCGTAGGCAAAGTCGTACGCAACAGGTTCGGCCTTGTTGAACTCGGCCACGATCTTCCTAAGCTGCATGAGAGACAGCGAGTCGGTCGGCGGCTGGGAGGCATTGGAGACTGGAGGCATCGGTACAGGAGGCGCCGGTGCTGTCGGTGCCTCGGGTGGGATGGATGAGTTTCTGACGAGGCCGGGGCGCGACGAGGAGACGGGCGGTGGCGGCGGAGGGGGCAGGAGGTTGTACTGCTCAGGTGTGGTATCGGCAGCCTGTTCGCCTGGATTCGCGGCTGCGGCGTTGGGCTCGCCGGAGCTAGTCTCGCTATCCTCCTTAGGCGGCCTCGAGGGCCATAGAGAATTCATGTTGACGGGCTTGCTGGAAGGTTTCGCGCGTCGCTGTTGGTGGCGCTCGATTGCGCCTGGTCGGCAAGTCGAGGATTGGCGGTGGGTGCTACTCGTAGAAAAGCGAACGACGAAAAAGACTGCTGTAGGAGGGAGACGTTGGATAGCATTCTTCGTGGATTCGAGGGTCGGAATGAAATGGGAGGCAGCGCAGCCTTCTCTAGAAACCTCTCTTTGGTGGCCTGGCGGGCAATCGGCTCTTCAGACGGGAGGTACAGTTGAGGATCGTGAAGGGCCCCTTGCCTCCCCGTCTTGATCTTCTTGGTGGGATGAAGTTGCCAGGGCAAGTACAACTGATAAGGTACCTAGAGCCCAGGCCGATAGCGATTGATTGTGCTGGACCTTCAGAGCTCGAGCCACACACCCCCCACCTCGGCACCTGTCAGACCTGGACTTGGCATCCATGTCAGGTTCCCTCCCAACTCTTTAAGACTCGCAGCCATGAGCCGTGCCGTGTCTGAATGAACATCTGGTGGCGGATTGGGAGCGATGAATAAGCGTTGTTGCGGAATCCCGACACGATCAACGTCACAGTGGCCCCTTCCTCAGAGTCAAAAACGCCGTGAACCGAGACAGACAGCGGGCGTCACGTCAGGCATGGCATGGCGGTCTACGGGCTAGCGCGCACCGCCACAGGTACCTATCTCCCTACCTCAGCTACCTACCTCCCTCAGGTACCTCCCTACTCCAGGTACAGGCATCACTGTGCTCCCTCTACTGTTCAGTGCGGTCCACTGTCCACTCCCTACGCGGAATGCCCCCCCGGCGCTTGAGGGCACCTGACGCACTGCAGCGCGGCAGCTCACTCAGCGCTTGGTACATCTCTTGGTCCATGTCATTTTCCCCCTTCGTGCTCATCCACGCCATGGCTATGAGTGCCTCCCGCCTTGTTGGAAAATACCTCGAAATCCTCTGATCGATCGGTCTCAGTCTCGAGGGCATTTTCTCACCTGCGCCCCTTCGCAGCGTTTGCCCCAGTTGCCCGAGAGGTTCTCGTACCTTTGCCTCTCTGACCCTCCAAACACTGCTACTGCCCCGCCTACGAGAACAAGCCGAGACAGCCACAGCCAGGATAAGGACAGCTCTAGCACCCCCCCTGCGACATTCGCCCGCAGCGCACACCGGACTCACCGCAGCCAGCTCGACATCATGGGCAGTAAGGGGCAGGAGGACGAGAGGCGCGGCTCGTATGCTCCCGATGATGATGGGCACACCAGTGGCAGCGATGGCGAGTACCAAAAGCCCGTCGAGGTTTGCTCCCCCTTGTCTTCTTCTCATCTCCCGTGGCTGTGACGCCCACCTTCATCCATGAAGTGAGGAGTGCTATCACCGGACTGTACCCCCGCTGACCATGGACGGCAGGTCACCTTCGACCCCAGCAGCCCGTACCGCCGCAAAAGCTCGCTCGTGTCTGCTGAGGCGCCATTGATGATCCCGGCGAGGCATGCCAGGCGGAACACCGATTGCATGGTTCATCAGTTCCTTCAGGCGCAGAAAGCCCACCACGACCCTCGAGGCCAGCAGGCCGGCCCGGATCACTACCAGGCGCATGGTGCATACGACCGCCCAGGCCAGCAGCCATCCAAAGACCTGTCGGGTGAGAAGGGCCTCGAAGAGAAGGTTGACGTCAAGGGCAGCGAGGCGGATCACAAGAGTCGCGCCCATATCCTGGGGCCCGGCGTTTCGGGCGAGGATGTGGACGGCCAGGCTGACGAGCAGGCGTGGCGCAACGAGATTATCAAGTCCGAGTCCCAAGTCAACATGGCGGGCGCGCAGAAAAACACGGTCGACGAATCGGTCCACTCCAAGGACGAGCTGCACAGCCGCCTCCTCACGAAGAAGCAGCTGAGCGACATGGCCTGGGGCGTGCGTGAGCTCAGCAGACGACTCAGCAGCATGCGCATCCGGTTCCGCGTCAAGACCATCTTTCTCCTGACCAAGATTCATGATGCAGACCTCATCCCTCGGACTAGGGAGCTGGTCAAGTGGCTTCTGGGTCGTGACCACGAGGTCCGGTACACCGTCTATGTCGAGAACAAGTTCCGAGACAGCAAGAAGTTCAATGCCTCTGGTCTCCTGGACGAGCTGCGGTCGGAATACGTCGAGGCGGGCGAGCTCGGGGTGGACGACAGCGGCGAGTCCATCGCCAAGCGGCTGCGATACTGGGACGACGAAATGTGCCGCACGCGACCGCACACGTTTGACTTCATCATCACCCTCGGCGGTGACGGCACAGTCCTCTATGCGAGCTGGTTGTTCCAGCGTATCGTGCCTCCCATTCTCAGCTTCGCGCTCGGCAGTCTCGGCTTCCTCACAAAGTTTGACTTTGAGGACCATCGATCCATCCTGACAAACGCATTCAACAAGGGCGTCACCGTGAGCCTGCGGCTGCGGTTCGAGGGCACCATCATGAGAAGTCAGAAGCGTATCAGCACAAACGACGCGGCCAGCAGCACGAGCTCGCTGGACGACGAGAATGCAGGCAGGGATCTCGTCGAGGAGCTCATCGGCGAGGAGAAGGACAATGAGCACACGCACAAGCCCGACGGCACCTATGAGATTCTGAATGAGATTGTCGTGGACCGCGGCCCCAATCCAAGTGCGTATTGCCTCTTTAACTACCAATTTTTTTTTTTTTTGGAGATGACGACTGACTGGTTTTCAGCCATGTCGTACACTGAGATCTTTGGCGACGACGAACACTTCACATCAGTGCAAGCCGACGGCATCTGCGTCTCGACGCCCACCGGCTCGACCGCGTACAACCTGGCGGCCGGCGGCTCTCTCTGCCACCCGGAGAACCCCGTCATGCTCGTGACGTCCATCTGCGCCCACACGCTCTCGTTCCGCCCCATCATCCTGCCCGACACGATCGTGCTGCGCGTCGGCGTGCCCTACACGGTGCGCACCAACTCGTGGGCGAGCTTCGACGGCCGCGAGCGCGTCGAGCTGCACCCGGGCGACTACGTCACCATCAGCGCGAGCCGCTACCCCTTTGCCTCGGTGCAGGCGCACGGCCGGCGGAGCGAGGACTGGGTCAACAGCATCAGCGGCAAGCTTGGGTGGAACACGAGGCAGAAGCAAAAGGCGTACAAGCAGTGGAACTAAGGGGGCTGGGAGTGTTATGTTTTTTTTCTCTCTTTTTTTAATAGACGAGACACGAGAACGGAAGGCATCTTCCTTGTACAGTAGAGCACACGGATCACCACTGATCATTCTTGTCAGAGCTCGTACGTTATTCGCCCGATATGAGCGCCTGAAGCACCATCTTCCAACACATACGACCATACCTACTGGAGAACTCGGGATCCCGTCCGCTCTCCCATAGATAAGCCAGTAAGGGTTGAACTAGTAGTTGGGTGGGTGACCACCAGCGAATCCTCGATGTTGTATGTTTTTGACGATTTTTGGTTATTTTTCGGCTGAGTGAAGCGTGGTGGAGTTGGCGGACGGGGCTGTTGTGGAGATGGAGGCGGGCTGGCAAGCTTGGTGGAGCCGGAACCGTTGTTCTGGCTAGGGGTGTTTTTTGCCATTGGCGGGGGAGAAGTACATCGTAGAAGATAGACGTACAAATGCTGCATTCCCATCATTCATATATGATGACGGCATGGGCCAGTTCAGATCCCTGGCCTGGCCAATCAGTGCATGCCGAGTCGCTTAAACGCTGTGCCGCGTCCATTGTTTCGCTGCTCCGGATCTGCAAGCGGCCCGGTAGGACGTCTTCAAAGGTGGGAGATGCATCCAGTGTATCGTGGACATCGTAAGAACCAGCAGAATGTATTCTGCCTCTAAAGACGAAACGCATCAGAGAACCGTGAAGAGCTGAGGCCCGCCATGACACGTATTGACAGCATCCAGCACAGACTATGGCTTCACTTCAGGGCGCGACGGGTGACTCGTGTATCTAGATGAGAGGCCCGCAGAACCTGAGAGATATTCAAAAACAACGCCAATACATGTCATCATCTAGTATGACAAAAGTGTGATGTATAACCCCCTGCCGCTTGATGTACAAAATACTACAACGCCGCTCACAGCGGCGGCAGATCGTCCCGACAAATGGGGCACTTCAACCGGTATCGCATCCAGCTCTCCAGACACGGGCTGTGGAATATGTGCCTGCACGGCGTCACCATGTAATTGCGCCGATTCAGCACGCCCGCCACGCCGCCAGCGGTAGAGTCCGCCTCGGCGGCCTTCATGACGGGCACCTCGAGCGTATCGAAGCAGATGGCGCACTCCGTCTTGGCGCTGCGCGCTCCGGCGACGGCGGCGTCTTTGCCCTGCTCCGCCTGCACCGGCTCGAGCGACGAGAGGAGACCGGCAGGGAAGCTGCCGTCCTCGAGCTTGTCCTCTCGCAGGACGGGGTGGTAGTCCCACGCCTCGGGCGCCCAGCCGGCAGGCACGCCGAAACGAGGGCCGAGGATGTCCTGCGCCGCGAGGATCCAGAGCTGAACCCAGAGCCAGGCGCAAAAGACAAAGAAGGCGCGGGGGTCGGGCTCGGCCATGAGAAAGTTATCCTCGCAGAGATAGAAGTATGCAAGCGGTAGTAGGCGAAGTATCGACTGGCCGATCATGAAGCGCCAGGAGAGGGCGCGGCGACAGTTGCGCATAATATTACGGTGAATCTGGGGCACCCAGAACGAGACGTAAAAAAGGGCGAGAGCATTGCTGAAGAGGGATCGGGTACGAGAGGACCAGGATGTCGATATGATGGAGAGGATGAGGATGAAGGAGATGGTAAGCGCGAAGCGGGCGACAATCATGCTACGAGCCGACGCAGCTTGTATTCGTGGGTTAGCCGCCGCCGCTGTGGCCGTCTCGTTCTCCTCAATCTCAGCGTCAATGTCTTGATCGGAGGGGATGATGATGGGCGGCGAAGGGGCACGCTGCAAAGGGGTTGCCGGTGTGGGCGACGTAGACTCGGGGGCAGGCGTTGCCACGCTTTCGGGCGTGGGGTTCGGCGCCGCGGGCGACTCTTCGCGAGGCAGGGGTGTTGATGAAGGGCGAGGCGTGCCGCGACCCGGCGGCGAACCTCTTTCGGCCCGCCTCCTTTCCAATGGCTCCTGCACCTTGTGCATCTCCGCGAGGAATGTGCCTCCAATGGCCATGGCGAGGAAGGCCGTGATCAGCAGGGAGAGCGACTCGACAAAGGTGATGGCAGCGTCGAGCGCCCAAATGACGGCACCGCCAAAGACGATACCGTCCAGGACCACCATCATGCTGATCGATGCGTAGCTGATGCGACAGAGCGTCGAAGGGGTCGAGGATTCTTCCATCTGATCCTTCAAGAGAAACACCTGACCCAAGAAGACAGTGGCGAAAGCCATGACCCAGAAACGTATCTGACCATAGATGACCTCAATTTTCCTGCCGACGAGGTGTTGGCCGTCAATCGAGGCAAAGTCTGGCGGTCCCTTTGACTCTAGAAAGAACGCGCAGTCTGGCGACCACAGGATGGCTGACATTTGCAGTTCGGGAATGCCTCGAACCGGCGCCCCGTTTGGGAAACGGAGCTCTTGCTCGATGTCCCGAATGACATCGGCCATGCTGTTGTAGTCCGGGTCGAAGCCCCTCATGTTGAGGCTCGTCTTGTCCGGCGGGTGGACCTGGGCATACAGCACATATTCGCAGTGAGGTTCTGGATCGAGGGCCTCCTGTTGGGCATTGACGGGGTCTGACGACCAAGGCAGGCTCATGGTGTTGAAAAAGGTTGTCGACTCCTTCCGTACGACATTGGCAAGAGTTTCGTTGAGAAGCCTCTGACTGGACTGGAAATAGTCTGGGCCCATGGCCAGGTGCGGCAGGCCGAAGATGCCGTCAAACTTTTCGCTCGTCGTCGTCAGAAGAATTGTTCCCGTACGAGGCCACTGCACGCCATACATGCGCACCTCCCAGGTGCTACCGGTGCCGTGGACGTCTTCTACTTCGAGCGACGCCTTTGCCGTCCGGACGGTACCGCCGGCCGTGTCGAGAATGTCAGATGGCAGTTCGTAGGACATTTCCCGCACGTTGCGGCCCGTGTCGATCATGTCGAGCACCATTTTGCCCTCGTGGCCGGTGATGTTGCGGGACCACGATGAGTAGACGCCTGGCCAGGCATGTTCCGGCGCCATGGTGGTCAGGTTGTAATCAGCCACACCTCGCTGGACAGAGGCATCCTTGCGAACCCACTGCCCCTTGAGCATACCGGTAGCGTTCTGCCAGACAGCCGCCTCCCGCTCGCCATGCATCAGTCCATCGTGGCCTGCCTTGGGCGGGTTGATCCTGTGGCTCCATCTCTGGCACTGCTGCTGGAACCGCGAGAGGTCTGCCCAGGCCAGGCCATCCCCTTCTCGGAACCCCGTAAAGTTCACGTACGTCGGCGCAAAGTCCTTCGGGCTGTCGCTTTGTGGTGGAGAAAAGTCGCCCCAGGACGACGCATTCAAGTGTTCGAGAGCAGCCTTGTGGCGCTCCACACGGTCGGCCAGGATGGTGCCGAAGGAGAGATACTGGCTGGGGCTCTCGGGACTAAAAAGAATCCACAGAAAGACTATAAAGAGGAAAATGGAGATGAACTGCGGTGGTTGACGTGGCGGCATGTTGGCGGCACGTACTGTCCCTGTCCCCTTGGCACAGGGGAGGTGGCGCTGGGCATCCGCGAGAAACGATGGAAACAAGATCCTCCTGAAGATTCGTGTCAACCCTACCTTGGCATGTGGCGGGGCAGCATGGCGTGAGCGGTAGAACCAAGCGAGTGGGCTGTGGGTGAGGGTGTCACTGGTGGTTGATGAAGTCGTTGAGATGAACTCAAGGCCAGGTTGGCAACCACAGGGGGGAGGGTTGACACACTCATCCATGGACGCGATGGCAGTGGGTGGGTCGCACGCTAAGGCAAGGCACAGCAGCCTCTGCCGCATTCGCCAACCGTAGATCACCTGGCATGCACCTGCGACTCACCCGCCCTTCGACCACGTCTTGAACCCCCCACCAGCCACCACGCTACACCTGACCTGGTGGTATTGCAAGCACTCATCGTGGTCTGCACATCGTAGCTCATTCGTGTGTGTCGAGGGAATCAATCGAGCCTCTTGATTTATCGACCAGGAAGACAGTCAGCAGCTGATCAATATGTCGTCCAGCAACCCCGACCAGAAGTCTCCCACCCCGCCCCCTACCGTATGCCCCTCTCCTCTGCCCCTCCTGGCCTCGGAACCAGCGCATGAGCACTATAGCAAGGAGCTAACGAGAACCAAGAACACCGAGGGCGGCAACGCCGCAGGCGATGTCAACGCTGCCGTCGACGAGCTCCTCAACACCATTTCCAATAAGTTTGCCGGCATATCGAGTGAGATCTTCGCCAAGAGTGAGCGTCTCCGAGTGCCTATCGAGCCCCAACTCCAGCTGACCCTCTCTAGTGGACGAGATGTCTCGCCGCTTGGATAATCTCGAGACGGCTCTCCTGACAGACAAGGACAAGGACGGAAACTCAAACGCAAAGCCTGCTTAGAGTCGGCCAATCACTACCAACGTACCTTCTTTCGTCGCTCGACTCACGAGGCGAGCGTTGCGCTCAGCTGTACCATGACCCTGAGCTTCAGGCACACTATCAATGACGTTACGACCGCATGCAGGGCATCAATTCATGTGCGTGTATTCAGGTGCCGGGGCGGCTGGGCCGCGAACATGTCATGCTAAATCGGAACGCTGCGACCCCAGTCTTACAAAACTACTTGTTCCTGTTTTCCATGTGCAGCGTTGGCTCATTTTGACGTATTTGGTTGGATGCGAGGCTGGTGATTTACAGCTCGTCCTTGGTCTCCTTGACCTTCTCGACGACCTGCTCGACGAACCTCTTCAGAATGTTGGTCTTGCTGGTGAGTTCGTCGCGCTTGGCGGGCGCAAGGCCACCCTTTGTAAGGATGCCGTCGAGGCGAGCCAGCTCCTTCGCGGCCCAGCCCTCGCTGGCGTTGAGCTTGGAGAAGACCTTGACGTAGTACTCGGCGTACTTGTACTGAGCCTGCTCGGCAAGCGACGCGGCCTCCTTCTGCACCTGCGCAGAGGCCTCGGCCAGGGACAGCCCGCCGGTGAACTTGGCGACGATGCTGTCGAGCGCAGCGATGGTGCCAGCCGTGACGTCGAGCCCGCCGCCGACGGTGCGGTGCGTGCCGACCTTCTCGTTGATCCAGTCGACGAACGCCTGCTCGGAGCGCCCGCTGCTGTAAAGCTCCGAGGGGCCGCCGTTCTTCGGGAACCACTTGATGGTGGGGTACGAAGTGACGCCCTCCGCCTGCGCGGTGTTCTTGCTGCCCTCCGAATCAGCGTCGACCTTGGCGATGATGATACCATCCTCGGCGGCGAAGTCGCTAGCGACCTCCTCCCAGACGGGGGCGAGGTTCTTGCAGTCTGCACGCACAGTCATGTTAGCTCTGAGATGTGCTGGAAGGGTGCTACAAACAACGTACGTCCACACCAGGGAGCGGTGAAGGCGACGAGAGCGTCCTTGTCACCGCCAATCGCCTTCTTAAAGTTCGCGTCGGTGAGCAGGGCTACGTTGCTGACGGGCTTCTGGGCCTTCTTGGACTTGACGCCCGTCTTGGTCGTGATGAACTCGCTCAGGCTGTCGAGGTCGCGGCCGCTCTTGTAGTCCTCCGGGGTGTCACTCTTGCCGTCGAACCACTTGAGCGTGGGGAAGCCCTGGATGCCGAAGCGCTTGCCGAGCTCCTTCTGAGCATCGGCGTCAACCTTGGCAATCTGCACCTTGTCCTTGGAGTTCTCAAAAGCGAGGGCCAGCTCCTCGTAGACAGGGGCCAGAGTCTTGCAGTGGCCGCACCAGGGAGCGAAGAACTCCACGAGGGTGGGCTTGCCCGACTTGAGGACAACCTTGTCAAAGTTGGAGGGGATCAGGTCGATGACGGCCGACTTGGCAGCCGCCGTGGCGGCCAGAGCGCCGAGAATGAAGCTCTTAAGAAGAACCATGATGATCAGGGTTCAGAAGAGTAATAATAAATCAATTTGGGGTCTGACGTTTGGGATAGCACTGCAGGTGAATTGGTGTTCACGCTGCTTTGAAATACAGAAGAAGCCAGCTTTCCCCGAGCGTCATGAAATGCAGTGCTGCTACAGCACATACCCTTGCTGGACGACCGGGCGGGACACCTCTTATCGCTTATCGAATCCAGCAAGCTGCCTTCGAGGTACCTTTGGCCAGAGACATGCGGTCCGTGCACATGAGCATGCTATAGTCACGTGAGCCTACATCGCTGATAAGCCATTGCGGCTCGCGACTGGACCTCAAAAAGCACAGGCCACCTGCCGCTCGCTTGGGCAGCAGCCCTGCTCCAATGGGCGACCCCCTGCCCGAAAATCGCACGCCCACACGAAATTTCTTGACCAACGCCGAAACGACCCGTTTTCCGCTCAACCTCCAAAGCAGTCACCCTTTTGCGCGTCCACCCCCAATCCACGACCAACTCTCTCTCGACTCGTCAACTTTCCCCCGTTCGACAAACCACCGCCAACATGTCTCACGAGTCTGTCTGGAACTCTCGCCCCCGCTCGTACGGCAAGGGCTCGCGCTCTTGGTATGCCTCTGCCCGCAACCCGCCACTTTACACAAGCCCCCCTCGATCGACTTGATGGTCCACGGAAAACAAAAAGAGATGGCCTACGGTCGACCGAGGGAGGAACAATTGCTCAGTGAGGGGACAAATGCTGACGGTTTTTGGATGTATAGCCGTGTCTGCAAGCACTCGGCTGGTCTCATCCGCAAGTACGACCTCAACCTGTGCCGTCAGTGCTTCCGTGAGAAGGCCAAGGACATCGGCTTCAACAAGGTATGCAACTACCGAACCGCCCTCACGATGTCGCCACCCACTGCAAATTGCACGAGCGGCACGAGACTTGTCACGAAAAACTAACATGATGAAACCAGTTCCGCTAAATGTTCACGACCCTGGACGAGAGAATGTTACGCAACTAAACGGGGGATCTTGGCACCGAGATGGCCTGGTGGAAAACCGCTCAGAGGAGGGTAGAGGAGGAGGCTTCCCCTCGACCCATGCGGGCACGGAGTTTGCGGTCTCAGCTTTACATGGAAGTGCGGACGGAAGGGCATTCTGCCGAACATTCTCTGAGGATAGACGAATACTACGGCATCTGAAGACAGAAAACGGGCAACCGGTGATGGCGCATGGTGATGAATCCCAACGATACATGATGGCTTGCTGCAATACTGTGCCTCGGGTGCTGAAACCTCACAATCACACGACCAAATCTGCCCCTCCTTTTCGCAATCGCAGCGGGAATACCCGGCTCAGTAAATGTGTCTCCAGTCGGATGATTCCTTTTGTCACAGCTTCCTTCCACGTGCACACGCAACAATTAACAGATCTCGGCGATTTCAAATTCAATCATCAGAAGCTCGTCTATTAGGCCTCCATCTAAAGTACAGTGCAAGACAGGGGTGAAACAGAGCGGAGAGCTATGCGCCCGGCGACGATATACAGCAGCCTGCCCTCGGGGGACGCCAAGGGGGGTGCCGGGGGGTAGTTGTACATGAGATCATAAAACAAGCCAACACCTTTTTCATCCTTTCTTTTTGTACACCGCATGTCCCTTGATCTCGCGACAGCCGCCTGGAGACAGCTCAAATCTTCACATCCACGCTGGATTGCGTTTTTCTTCCTCGTCTCCTTTCCCAACATCCTGCTTATTTCAGGATACGGGTGATGAGACCGGTGGCAACGGTCCTGCCGCCCTCACGGACGTTGAAGCGCTGACCGACCTCGATGGCGCTGGGCGCGTGGAGGTGGGCGACCATCTCGACGTTGTCGCCGGGCATGACAATCTTGTGAGCGGCATCCTCGGTGCCCTCGGGGAAGGTCAGGGCGCAAGACTCGTCAGCGGTACGCAGGAACATCTGGGGCTTGTAGTTCTCGTGGAAACCAGTGTGGCGGCCACCCTCCTCCTTGGTGAGGACGTAAAGAGAGCAGAGGAAGGTCTGGTGGGCCTTGACGGAGCCGGGCACGGCGACGACCATGCCACGCCTGACATCCTCACGGCGGATACCACGGACAAGAAGGCCAGAGTTGTCACCGGCACGGGACTCCTCACAGGACTTCTTGAAGGTCTCAATGTCGGTAACCTTGGTCTTGATGATCTCCTCACCCTTGCCAATGATCTCAACCTCGGAATCCTTCCTCAGAACACCACGCTCGACACGGCCACTGACGACGGTACCACGGCCGGAGATGGAGAAGACATCCTCAACGGACATGAGGAAAGGCTTCTCGAGGTCACGCTGGGGAGTGGGGATCCACTCATCAACAGCCTTCATCAGCTCATCGATCTTGTTGGCGCCAATCTCGGGCTTCTGGTTGTTCATGGCCATGAGGGCGGAACCCATAATGACGGGTGTGTCGTCACCCTCGAATCCGTAGGTAGAAAGAAGCTCACGCATCTCCATCTCGACAAGCTCAAGCATCTCAGGGTCATCGATGGCATCGACCTTGTTGACGAAGACAACGATGCGCTGGACACCGACCTGACGGGCAAGCAGCAGGTGCTCACGAGTCTGGGGCATCTGTCCGTCGGAAGCAGCAACGACAATGATGGCACCGTCCATGTTGGCGGCACCCGTGATCATGTTCTTGATGTAATCGGCGTGACCAGGGCAGTCGACGTGGGAGTAGTGGCGGTTTTCAGTGGAGTACTCGATGTGTGCCGTGGAAATGGTGATACCACGCTTCCTCTCCTCGGGGGCCTTGTCGATGGCGCCGTACTCGAGGAAGTTGGCAAGGCCCTTCTCGGCCTGGCGCTTGGTGATGGCAGCGGACAGGGTGGTCTGAGAAGGTTGGGCATGTTAGCGGCGTCGCGGGATGAGCATCATGTGCCAGATTGGATGCTTACCTTTCCATGATCGACGTGGCCAATGGTACCAATGTTGACGTGCGGCTTGTCACGGGCGTAGACGGCGTATGTGCGGAAGAAGGGGGACGCGCCCTGCTTCTTGAAGGCGGCGGCCAAGGGGTTGGCGTAGCCGGTGCGCAGCGAAGCCCGCGTCGTGCGGAGGAACGGCGAGATCGCCTTGAATGTGGCAGACATTGTGATGGGTATTTATTAAATGAAGATGCGTACTAAGAGAAAGGGGACAGCAGAGAGGAAGAAGAGAGTCCGACGGGCAATGGTCGTGTACGGGCGGGCGCTGAGAAAGGTATTGGCCTGGTGATGATTGGGGAAATTTTTCGCTCCCGGGAGAGGTTCACTGGCTGGTCGTCGAGAGATGGACTGGACACTGGAGCTCCTCTCCTATCTGGCCTGGCACCACTGCGTGCCTGGCATTTGATGGGTCCAGGCACACGCTCCACCGGGTCACGTGAGAGCGCGACAGCCCATCAGGATGTCTCCTTTGTCAGCACCGATGACGCCCTCAGAACCCCTATACGCGCGCTGTACGGACGTCGTGTCAACTGATGGAAGGGGTGGTGGGATGAGTGCTCGATATTTGAACCAGCCTTGCCCAGGGAACCCGACTAGATATATAATGACAATATTATACAATGACGAGATTCTCATATGTCAATATGTAGGCCATTGACTGGGACTTGCCTGTGAGACCGCTGCATCAACACTTGCGTGACACTTGATGATGGGCGTGCGTGAAAATTGTTCGAAGTTGAGGCATTGGAGAGGCGGATGACACGGCCTTGTATAGCTCCACTAATAAAATTTATCTGGAGAGGTATTCCAAGGAAACAGTCTCAGCAATTCCATTTCATTGCGATGATGAAGTTGTCGTACTAGTCTTGAGCAACCCACCAATACGATCAGCGCCTCACAGCAACGGCACACAGATGCTTCCCTGTAGGAAGTATTTTGACATTACAACTTCCAACTTCGCCTCATAGTAGTAGTCTGAGCCTTAAGTATTACGATGAGTTGTGCATCATGATAATCAAAAAATGACGGATCGCACGAGGCCTTTCCTTGAGATCCCGTCGGCCGCACGCACCTGCCTCCTGACCCATCTATTGATCTCGATGACGTGACATTTGCATGTTCCTGCCTTCGGCAACACCTTTAGTTTCTGGGTACCACCTGCTTTCGCGCAAGGTAGCTTTCCAACACTCTTGTTGGCAGCCCCGTTTCCCTCAAATAGTGATGCGACTTTTGGCATGGTAGGGCTCCTTCTCCCGAGCGTTGTAGGCTGTCGAGTCACGAAGATGTCTTGGGAAGGAGGCATTGCTGGCACCTCCCCCTGTTGCTCATGAGTTTGCCTGTGACTGTCAGCAGCCTTCCAACAGATAAAAGCCTGACATCCCGCCTGAGCCCACTTTCTTCAGACTTTTAGTCCACCATAATCCACTCTGCCATCTTCAATCCTCTCCGTCTTGTGACAGTCCACTCTTCTCTTCCCCTCCCCTTCTTCCCCTCCCCTTGCGAAGACTCAGCAACATGGTGGTAGATCATCATTGTCTTCGGACGGCCCTGATGGCACCCTTTTCGGAGCAATCCAATCAATGGTTGCATCCTGCTCAACAGGGCTAGAGTGATCTCGCATACTCGCGGGTGATAACTGACCTACTCATCCGCAAAGCGACTGACTGTGAAACCGTCGAGCCCCCACATGGTCTTTCGCGTTCATCAAAGTGCCGCTGAAACATATTGATACCTTTGTTACGCCTTTTGATATGTTCTTGAAGACAATCCGTGATGCGGCACATTTCTTACTCTCCCGTTTCGCAAAGTGCAATGTCGCCCGTGGCTCACCTTTGTATCTCTTTTGGAATTCATCGTCACCGAAGTGTTTCATGTGGTGGCCACCCGGCAAGAAGCAAGTCTCATCAAGTTCAACAGAAAGGACAATATCCCAAGATCGGGAATTCCGTACAAGTATACCTCTTGTGATTGTGTGGATGTGAGAGACTTCTAGCAGTCAGTATATCGTGATGTGCTGTGATGATTGGGTGCAACTAGATGTATCGTGAGCCCTGCATTGTTGTTAGGTGATGTACCGGATCCGTAGACGACGAGCCAGCGCCCCCGACAGAAAAAAAGTATGTCCTCTTGGATCTCTAAGTCGTAGCTTGCAGAAGCTCCTTGGCAGACAACACCGTGATCGAATCTTCGATTCAAACCGTTTTCATTTCCAAAGAAGTAGATTGAATGGACGCGCCGCGACTCCAACCTTGTTGGCATCGATGCGACGGATGTCCTGCCTTCCAGCTTTGACACTTCCTGATTCGGGCTAACAACGAACACTCCAAGGGTAATTGTAAGAGCGCGTCGGCAAGAGATGTCGAAAGTGAGGCACCTCGGTGAGTCTTATTAACTGAGCCAGCAAGTGTTGCGGGTGTAGGTCGCCGGTTGGCGTAGGAGGCTCAGAGAGAGAGAGAGAGAGAGAGAGAGAGAGAGAGAGAGAGAGGTGGACCAGAAGGACAGACAACTGTATATAGCTTTTACGATTCGAAGCATTCGCCCGGATAAATACATGTTCGCCGGAACGCTTGGGTTTGATCTTCCACCCATTGGCAAAATCGAACAGAGGAAGAAATCGGTCAGAAATTCAGACACAGAGTACCCTTTTACCCGCCTAGCTTTGAGTGCGCACAGGATCACGGCTTGAAACTCGCGCTTCTCGCTATGCCCACATGTGGTCGTCCCTGTGCCTTGCCTGACGTACTTGGGAAGATGAACGAACAACATGTGGTCGAGGTCGGGCGGGTTGAGGTTGAGAGCGTCGACTGTACCGACCTACCAACCCTGGCCGATCGTGCACCAACGGAGTGAATTTTGCAAATTCTTTTCAGGGCTCTCATTCACTGGATACTTTTCCAACCCCCACCCCAGCTTGTGGATGGAAATTCATTTTCGTCATAAACTTCATAGTCTAGGCAGAGAGCATCCATACCGTTCGATTGGCGATGATGGGCTCGTGATCTTGAGCCCGGATTTGCTTCGTATGAACCATGATAGGCTGGCAGAAACAGCCTCTGCCATCCGCCGTGTATGCTCACTCTCACTACGCCGTCTCTTCGTGCTCGGCTTGCCTGTCGTCTCGGACACGCGAGAGAGGATATCACCAGTCCAAGGAGCGTCAATGCCACCCCGGAGAGTGCCTGGGAGTAGAGTTTCCGAGAGTCATGGGCCTTTGCCCTCTCGCTGACTGACCATCGCAAATATGACGAAACGAGAGGTCATCGAGACCACAGACCGCCTCATTTTTTAAGCTCGTGTAGCGACGTTGACTTGATTGAGTAGATGTATAGGACAATGTCCGAAGATGGACTTATTTCATGAATCGTAAATCTTTGCTGTTGGTATGTGTGTTTTCCACCTCCACCTCCCAGACAGGTGAGGCAGGCAGCGTCTCATGTCGGGCATGTGCTTGCGAATTCGAGCTCATCCGTTGGTCTCAGCCCAGGCGGCTCGTGATTCAGTCGTCGCCTTCAGACGAGGACCCTTCATGATCGCTCGGCAACCCCGCCGCAGCCCTCTCCTCTTTTGCCTTGGCTCTCCTCTTGAGCTTCCGCTGGCGATTCAGCCTCTTCTTCTTTTCCCTCAGCTGCTCCTCCTTGCTCATCTTCAACTTCTCCGCCTCTTCAGCCTTCCTCTTTGCCTCCCTCTCTCTCGTTCGCATCGCGAGCCTCTTCTTCTGTCCCGGTCTCTTCCTCTTGCCGTCCTCTCGCAGGCCCGTGGCCGATGACGCTGTCTTCTTCTTCGTCGCCGCGCCAGCCGGGCCATCGATGTGTGTCACGCGCCACGGCATCTCCATGCCCCAGCACCGCCGTGCCGCCCGCTCCAAGATATCCTCGGCGCTGACAGCTGCGAACTCGACCTCGGCGCGCTGTGCGTCCGTCAGGGGTTCAACGAGGTAGTACCGCAGCGGCCGCCGCCGCAGCATGGCGCCCTCGCCGCGCGGCGCGCCCTCGTCATCGTCGGGCAGGATGACCTTTGCTGCTGGCTTGGCGGAGCTGAAGAGCCTAAATTCAAACTCTTCCTCTTCCTCCGCGTCCTGCTGCTTCTGATGCGTCTCCTGACCCGGCTGCGCCTCTCCGTCCGGATCCTGGTCTGCGGCGGGAGCTGGTGCACGTGTAGACGATGGAGTATCGATCGGGGCGAACGTAAAGGCGCTTGCGAGTTGGGCCTCGAGGCGAACCCTTAGGGCGGCATGGTGCTGGTCGTCCTGGTCTACATCGGAACCATCAGATGCCGAGTCGAGGAGATCTTCGCGACGGACTCTATGTGGAAGGTATTGTCGTCAGCACGTGGCGTTCTCGAAGACGCCTCGGAGAAGAAGGCGCAGAGCTTGGGCGGGGGAAAACCAACCTCTTTGCCTCTGGGAGCTCAAACATGATTGTTGCTGGTAATGTGGTGTGGAATCGTATAGTGTACAGTACGTGGGTGGGTGTGCCGAATGACCTGCGGTTGCAGTGCGGCGAGATTATGTCTCGGAAGTCGCCGACCTCGGGGGCTTGGGTACGCCAGGATGGCCCTGTATTGGTGCTGGTGTGGCCGTACGCTGCTGTAACTCTGATCGTGAGGTTGCAATATTGGCTTGTTGGAGGCCTGTCGTCGCAACGTGCTCGAGGCAATGTCCGATGTCCGAGTTTGGGTGCACGGATGACTGGGCGAGGTTCAGCCGTGTTAGCACCGCACGACAAGTTAGGATGAACTATCGTCGACGGTTGAGTGCTGCTGAGCCATTCGCCAAGAAAAAGTCGCAAGCTGTTCCCTTCTTGTCCAGATGAGGAGGGATGCGTCGTCCTTGTTTGATAGCTGGGCACAGGGCGGTGGGCAGTTGGCAGTTGGCAATTGGCAATCGGTAGGGCCGGAGTCCGGATTCCAGGAAGAAAAAGCAAAACCGAAGCCTTTGCTACCGCCTCTGCCTGCTTTCAGGTTTTCCAAGGAGTTGGGGAAGCGGGAAGGGGTCATGGACTTATCTAATCGCCAGACTCCACCAAAATAGTGACCGCCCACGCCGCACTACCGCACTACCGCACTACCGCACTACCTCACTACAACGCCACTACAATGCCTGCCAACAAGGCCCCGAGAGGGGCACCTAACTGCACTGGAACAAGCACGCTCCTTCATCACTGGATTACTCGACAGCTCCCTGAAAGCTGCCCCTCTCAAACAAGCGCCCAACCGAGCGCCTCAACTGAACACCACTGCCACCCCCTCCAGAATCCAAACCAACAGGAAAGCTCTCATCCGACGGGACCTTGTTCGACACCCTTCGATGGAACCCACCATTGGAGATGCCCCAAGGCCAGACCAAAAAAAAAACAAAAAAAAAAAAACAGCCAATGATGCCGCATCATAAGCGACTGCTCCCCTGTAACCCCCCTGGACGCTCGAAGGTCGTCCAGAAGCAGCAGCTGAAGCTGATCCACTGCCCACTACTCCCCCCTCTCGTCCAACACGACGCTGTCAAGAGATCCCATGATACCACATTCCTTGGCAGCCGATGATCGCCGCGTCCCAGCCGCTCGGAAACAGCAATTCATCATCCTCTTCCACTTCACCCCCTTCCACCCCCCCCCTCTCGGTGGCTTGACTAGCCTTTTCTCAATCCCTAGTCCGATGCGTAGCCCCCCTCCCCCTCGTCGCTTCAACGACCGAGGACCCTCACTCCTCGCCCCCCCTTCTCCTCCTCCCAGGCTGTCTCATCCGTCGCCTCGGAGAATTTCCTGACCACGCGAAACCCACCCCCATGTTCTCCCTCATCATCCACTTCAGCTTTCCCGGGATGGACTAGGTGCGGGATGGGATGAGATGGCATGCAGCCAGACAAGCATGGATGAGGCGGTGACGAATTATCGCCTGCGTCCCGAGAGCCAGGGCTGTGTGGATGGACGGACGGGTTAAAACAAACGTCCCCTCCTCGTTCGTCTTTCGTCTTTCGTCTGTCTGCCTTGGGTTGGTCTGCCCTGCCCAGCGTCCGCTGCGGCTCTGCCCCCTCACGCCTCACCCACCTCCTCGGCTCAACTCTCCCTCGCTCTCTCACGCACTCTCCTTGTATCTTGCCCATGCATACGACGGGCCCCCTCTTTGGGCTGCTGCTGTCCCACCCCAGCTCCATCCTTCTACCTGGGTTACACATCGCTCGAGGCTAGCCATGCCGGACGCCCCCCCCCCCCTCCATCTCACTTGACCCGTCCGTCAGCCACAAGCCCACGGTTGAGGCGCTTACTTTATATCAACTACACTTGGCCCCGGTGCCAACTCACTCACAACAACGTCCAGCAACACCGTATCTGTTGTTTTCATCTTCATTGATATTCATCTCGTGTGCCCTTGTCACTAACTAGACAGCCTATCCTGCCAAGTTACCTACTTACTACTACCACCACCACCGCCGCCGCCACCACACATAGCCACGACTTATCTCCCATCCGTCCTGTCAGACGCTCTCGCCATTGTTACTTTCGGCCAATAAGCCACCCACCGTCCGACAGCCTCACCCACAGGCTTGCCACAGGCGATTGCTGCCATCTTCGTCACTGAATCCAATACGCACGCCTCTTCTTGAAAGAACGCCAACCCCAGACGACGTACCACGTCTAGGAACACCAATCATACCATCCAAAATCATCCCCCTTTTGTCAATGAATCGAAAAGCAATTATGTGTTCGTACAGTCGCCGCCGCCGCCGTGTCCGGTGGAATGCCGACTTGCCGGTCCCAGCCCACCCCCAGCCAAGAAAAAAAAAACCGACAACCAGAAAAGAACACCCCTTCAGCCCGAATCCGCCAAAACTCCAATTGTTCGATTGTGGTACTCCAAAAACAAAGTCAAATCATGAAGGCTGGTGCCTCTCAATCTAGGGTTGCACTGGCCGTTGCGGAAGCGTCAGTCGCTTCCGGCATGTGCACTCTTGCTTGGCTGATGAGCACCGGTTAGATGGCATGCCACGAGTAGTGGTTCATCGCGTCAAACGATCCACGCGGCGGACCGTTGTACACAGCGGCTGAGCCCGGCGGCGGGGCCCCCTGCTCATTCTTGACCGGCACCGCTGGAGCAGTGCTCTTGTACTGGCCCGGAGACGAGTACGACCGATTGTCGCTGCTGGTATAGGCCACTGTCGCATTTGCTTCGCCAGCCGTTGTCGTCCAAGTGGTCGAAGGGGGATAGTAGTCCCTTGGCGGTGCCGAATGAGGAATCGACGTCGAGTCCGCGCCATATCCAGGGGCCGGGAGCTCTCCTGCGCTGCCTCCGTGCAACGGTACATATGATGAGCTGTATCGATACTCTGCAGATGGGTCGGTATTGGCAATCGAACTGCCACCCTGAACGGGTTGGTGGCTCGCATGTCTCGGGCTCTTGGACGGGCGATGGTTGCTGTCGACATACCGGGGTATGTTTAGTGCAGCGTCGGCGCTTGTCGGTATAGACAGCGGTGGCGGGGCCGTCGTTGAGTGGCCGTACGAGAACGAGGCGCGGGCCTGTGTCTGTTGTTGCCCTGGTGCTACAGTCTCAGCTGTCAAAGGTGAAGCAGAGTAGCTACCCGCACCAGTCACCGGGATGTGGGACATGGACACATGGCCAGGCGAGGTCCAGTTGGGGTAAGAGCTACGGCAGTCTGTCAGCGTCGGCTTTCTCGTGGTAGGGAATGGATTTGGAGCTCGCATACTTCGATCTCATGGTCCCCATTTGGTTACTCGGCATTTTGGGCCCGCCCCCGCTGAAGGTGAACGCGGCTCGCGGCATCTGCATGTCGATGCCTCTAGCTTTGACATCGATTGGCTTAGCGCTGAGAGGTCCTGCCACGATGCCCTGTCCAGTTTCAACCAGAGCTTGTCCGCGCGACCCTGCGCTGGATCCCAGAAGTGGAATCTCCTTGCGAGCCTGGAAGTTGCGGGGGCTTCGTCCCCGCACGACAATCGGCGACGTCGTCGCCTCGGCCAAGACAACCTTGTTTCCGTTGGTCAAAGTGCCGACTACCTTCAAGTGTAGGACAAAGTGTTGCTGGAGTTCCTTCCGCCTGCCATTGTTCGCCGTCGCACTGGTCTGCTATTAGTTTCATCCTTTGTCACGTCCTTCCCATACCATCACTTACATTCGAAACTGCAGTCGTCTCCAGCCAATCGGGTACACAGCGTACTCGCCGTCGGCATCTGGCCCCTCGTCCTGGAAAGGAATGAGGGGAAGCGACGGCGGCTCCTGGTCGGGACCCTGGGCCACCTCGGGGGAGTTGGGCGGCGGCGTTTTCCAAGGAATCACAATCAGTCGGACCGGGTGCCCATCAACCGACTCGATTGCCGATACAGTCACCTCGGTAGTGCTCACGGGAACCGTCTCGCCCGTCTCGGTGACAACCGACAGCGGTCCGCGAGCCGTGATCAAGGAACCGCTGATCTGGAAGAGGTTTCGTCGGTAGCAGGTCAACTCTGGCTGCAAAACTGAGCCTTCGGTAGCGCCCGACGGCATTTCGGATAGGAAGAACATGCCATGCAGCTGAGCGGAAAGTTCCATCTGCTGCATGCGACCGTGCTGATCCACAACAGTGTGCTTGTCCTGCACCTTTTTGAACGACAAAAGTTTGTGGTCATGGTTGACTGTCAGTTTAGACCCGTCGTCCCGCAGGTCTTGAACGATTTCCTGGTATGGTGGCTGTTCCGTGTGGGAGAAAGCCCTCTTCAAGCTGGGGTAGCTTTGGTGTGAGGTCAGGCCCGGATGCTGGTGTCTGTCATAGGGATCAGACTCGTCCTGAGGGTAGCGACTGTACGGGTATGCGGAATTGTCCATCGAGGGATGGTTGCTGCGCGCGCGCGGAGGATGGGGCGGGTTCGTTGTGTGCCCTGCAAGCCCCGAATCCAGGTTGTGGTTGTAGCGAGTCGAAACTGGTTGCACCGGGCTGCCGTAGTTGGGCCAAAGACTGGTATGCGCCGGCTCCTTCAACTCTGCCATAACGGGGTAAGTTGCCGTGACTGACATTAGAGCATGCCTTCAGGGCGCCTCGTGCCTTTCCGTCCAGCGAGGGGGTAGATGCCGCTGCTCCGGGAAACCTGAAGGCAGGTCGAAGGCAATGCAATGTGTCTTGAGGCTAGTCGTCCGGTAGAAGAGGATGGTTCACTGAGCACCCGCGACTGAATGGCGACAAAAACGAAGGAGGAGTCGCGATGGTGCGCAGAGTGTGGTATGAAGTTGGGAGATGGAAGGTGAAGTTGGTGGTCGAAAGAAGACTGTCTACTGGGGTCGAGTTGTGGCTGCAGAAGTATACTTGTAGCTGGTGGGTAGGAGTTGGTAGGTGTTCGACGGAGAGAGGACGGGGGGGGGTGGTCTCGCGCAACCTTTCGGCACTGCTATGATGTGGATACAAGGACGGGGGCGAGACCGGGGAGCAGGCCAAGGTCGAGCTCACTTCTATGGCATATGCATATAATAACAGAATGGCAGCGTCTGGTATACCTGGGGCGAGTCGATACTTGCCGGGAGGACAGGCAAAGAAACCCGGACAGGCCCTTGACACGGAGCCAGTGGGGATTCCAGTCTGACTGGCAATGGATGGGGGCCCGGGCATGCAGAGACAATGGCGCGAGAGCAACGAGGGGAAAACGCGTGATTCCTGTCAGAGGGCACACGGCAGTGAAACAGATCGATGAGTGTGAAGGGTGTTGTTGATGGGGGGGTTGGATGAACAGAGAGGCGCGCTGTCGTCTCCCCTCTGCCATGCCCTTCTGACCACCCCTCCCCTCTGGCTTCCCCTCGTCTCTGGGTGTTCGGGGAGGAAACGAAACAAGAACACCCT